GAGAGAGGAGAAATGTACTATGCTTGAATGTTGGTTGTCCACTTCCCCACTGAAGCCTAATGCATAGCGGCTCCTGTAATGACTACAATCCTGGCTTCCTGTTGACCTGGCCACTTCCACCAAAGTATGCTATATCAGGGGTGGTGCTGATGGGAACAAGGAGACAAATGGGCTTGAACAAGTGTGTTTCAGGGCTAAACTTTCTGGAATGAAGAAATGTGAAGATTCCAACAGGCCATTCTGCAAACCTCACAAGCTGCTGTAACAATGGCTGCCTTGGTCTTCCTGGAAATGGGTGGCCAGCCTTAGTATATAGCACTGACTATAGGCAGAGATGCCACATGCCTGCCCTTGCTTAATCTCCATACCAATCCCAAGAGGAAGCCACTATCATTTCATTTGACAAAAGCAGAGCCAAAATGGAGGCTGTAGGATTTTAGTATCCTATAAGTTTACCCATAGGAGTGAGAGGGGCTAATGGAACTGAGCTCAGAATATGTTCTCCTGGTCTCTGCTGGTCTTTTGCCATGTTGCCATGGTTGGAATGGGAGAGTCCCCCCCCCCCCCCGAGATTATTTTGGTTGATGTTGTTCATTTACTTTAACTGTTATGCTTACTCTGTCTTAAGAGCTAGTGGAGATTTATAATACTGCCTTGGAGAACTTGTGTTAGTCAGTGTGAGCCCAGGACCACAGCTTTGTTTCCCGCATTGGCTTTAAACACATCACCATTTGGTGATGCAGGAAAGCTGTATGTCAGCCACTGTGTCTGCAGTCCAGGTCGGCAGAAAGAGATTCATAATGTCCACAACCGTTCAAAAGACCGAGTTTACTATTTGTTCACTAAAATTTGCTTTAGTAAATTACATGTCTATTAAGCAGTCCCCCCCCTTGCAATACTTCTGCTCAAATGGATGGCTTCATCATACTTCCAAGGTACTTAGGCAAAGTAATCAAGGAAATTCTTGGGTACTTCTTATTAGTAGAGTAGCTAGGCACAGAGAGACTAACTCTGCCTTCTCCACACCTGCTCTACTCTATGTAGTTCCTTTGAAGAGTGAACCCAACTTCCAAAAATCTCTACTTCAAAAACTCTCTAGGAGTAATCAATGGCTTCATCCACTGGTGGATTCAGTATTTGGGGAGACTCTTGGGAGGCAGGCTATGAAGGTGAAGTCTGATTAGAAGAAGTAAGTCATCCGAGTCGAATCATGACTTAGGAAGATAGGCGCTGCCCTGTCCTGTCCTGTCCTGCTCTTCTCTTGAATGTCCTGATGTGATCAGTGTTCCTCCATGATACCTTTGTGCCTTACCATGGGCCTAAAAGCAATGGCTCCAGCAGACTGTATACAGGAGCCTCTGAAACTGTAATCTGAGATAAACATTTCAACCTTTTAACTTTCTCTTAAGTACTTGTCTGTGAAAACTCTGCCTCATACTTGTGGGAATAGCCTTGAGTTGGACTTCACCTTCCTTAGCCGTAGGTTGTTACTCCTGTTAATGTTCCAAGCCCCTGACCTGGGAGAGAATGCCAATATTCCTGGGAGAAGATAAGAGCTTTGGTCTTTTGGATACCGTTAGCACCTGACAATGAAAGACATTGATTTAATGCATCCCAAGTGAAGGCAATCTGCTGTGGCCATGCTGACTGTAGGGCAATGCAGCTTAGGGAGTGTGTGCATCCACTAAGGCCGGTGCTGAGTGATCTGTGGTTAGCCAACTGGAAGGCAACAGGGCCTGGGTGAGGTAAATTCCTGACTCCCTTATGAGTGTGCCAGGTGGAAATTACAGTGTCTTGTGGAGAGACACTTCAGTGGGATGACCCTGCTGATGGCTTGGGGCAGGAGAGACAGCCCTTCCCCTCTTCCAGCATTTTCTGTGGCTGTATCTAGTGCCCTCACCTGTGGGCATGATCCCTATGGAGTGCACTTTCAAGCTCAACAGGAAAAACATTTGTAGGTGCTGCTTCAGGTCAGTCTCTTTGCTTCATAGTGGTTTAGATTAAAAACTGTTTAATTACACCCCAAGATGGGCCTTAGGTCAAAGGCTTCTCTGTTCATGCTTCTGTGGCTGTGTTTATAAATACTAAGCTGTTTCAAGATTGGGTTTTAGGCTAATCATTTTAGCCAGGGGTGGGGGTGGGGCACTACCGTGATTAGGCATTATTAGAGGCCAGTTTCCTGGACTTGTGGCACATAGTAGATGTTTAATAAATGTTTGTTCCACAGTTGCTAAGCAGTCTAACTGAGCTCAGCTTACTACTTTAAACATCAACCTGCTAAATCTTAGGAAAAAATTGCTTGGTTGGGGCTTTGTTTTATTTTGTTTTTCCTAGTGGAGAAAATTACAGTAACAGCAAATGACAGCAAATGCCCTAGTAGACCACCCTGTCCAGAGTGCATGGCAGGCTCTGCTCCTGCTGCTCTGAGAGGCTGCTGCATGGGACACAGTGCTTATCTCCTTCAGAGTTTCAAAGAGCCCCATCTGAGCCCCATCTAGGGAGCTGGTTGTCACTAATGACAAGGTCTCCGGCTGTGGACAACCGGGGCTTGAAGTGGTCTGGTGATGAAGTCATGGGAATTAAGGCATGTTATCTGTCATGAGTCTACATTCCCAGCCCTGAGCTCCACAGAGCTAGGCACCATTCTTGGGGCTTATTTTAGAGCCCAAGAAACCAGGCAATTATCTTGTTCTTTGACTATAATCAGCAGAACAGGATGCAGGTAGCCACAAAGTGGAGTTATTTAAAACAGTAAGAAAAAAAAAAAATCAATTCCAAAAGACCAATAATCTTAAAGGTTTTTTTTTTTTTTTTTTTTTTTTTTTTTAACATCTGGATGTCAATGTGTGTAGTAGACAGGAGGGAGGGTTGACTCTCTGACCTCTTTGGGAACAGTAGTAGCATCAGACGCCCCCTCCCCCCATCCCACTTGCAGTGAGAGGCAGGTGCTCAGGCCCGGAAGCTTCCCCACAGTGATTCATTTTGCCCTCAGCTGGGGTCTCTGGAAAAGATCCAGGGAGAATCCCGAGCTTCCAGCCATCTGTCAGTCAGGAGGTTACCATGGTTACCACCAGCCAGCTGGTCTTATGAGCCAGCTGGTTCTTTCTGGCTGTGAGTAACAGGACTGCTCGGTAGCCCCTCAGCTGGAGGTGCAAAATAGTCCTGGCCTTTGTTTCTGAGAACCTATCTTGGGCAGCATTTGTTAGGGTGGTCCAGTGAGAGTCTGGCATGGATACAGGTGTGACTCTGTGCTTTTCTGAGACTCTTCAGAACAGACTTCTTCGAAGAAGGCAGAATGAAGTGCATTAGATTGGCCCTCAGCTCATTCTGGCTCTGTCACTGGTGAGCTATGTGGACTTGGACTGTCAGACTGGCTGAGACATGCTTTGCATTTTTGGCAAATCGGATGATATGCTTTGTAGATTATGGTCCCTGCTTAGGATCCACCCAACAGCAGCTTCTATTACCACAGTCATCAGCTCAGATTGTGGAGATGAAGGTTGCTATAGCATGGTCCCTCATTCCAGCTTTGGAGGGTACCCTGGACTATAGTAACAGACCAGGTTGCTTTCCAGTGACCTGTCCATCCTCTGCCTAGCTGTCTGAAGCATGGACCTAGACTTCACCCAGGGTAGTGTGTGGTTTGTTCAAGGCCTTTATTTCTATTTCCAGAAACAAAGCTGCTTATTTGCAGGAAGAAAAAGGTAGGCATAAGGGAGACTGTTTTTGATGGAAAGAGTCACCCAGGACTGCATGGTGATTGTGTGACCACCAGTTCAGGCTTATTGTGACACCACTATGTGCCACTGGTTGGAGCTGACCTCCATTGCAATTTGGTCAGAGGTAGCCAGTTTTCTTTTGGTACCCATACATGGATCTGTACTGTCCCCAGAGAGTTGTTCAAGAAGGTCTGTACATATTGTCTTGGGGCTCATTTAGGTGAGATTGTCATCAGGCAGTAATTCATGCATTTGCCTTGGGAAACAATTCCTTTTCCCTGATATATACTATACTAGTGAGGGAAGGGAGAGATGGGTACCACATCAGACTGGCCACATAGAGTAGTAGTATTGTATTTTAGTATTCTTTCTAGGCATAGCAAAGTGGTAAGCAATGGATTGCTCTAGAAAGGAATTCTTGTGGGGAGAATTCTACACCAACATATATGAGTGGATATATTAAGCTATTTGAAATATTTCCATGTCAGACTGGACTTTGGTCATCTCTCCTTTAGACTGCCAGCAATTGTGATGGGACATTGAAGGCCAGATGGAGATCCAGGGCTCTAACCACTGCTTCTGATAATGAGATAAAGCACATGTTCCATTCATTCACCTTTATTAAAAAATAAAATTGTCAACAGGAAACTAAATACCCCAGACAAACTGTGTACAGCATTTCTGGGGCTGACAGTTATACTCTCATCAGCAGTAGAAACAAAGGGCCCACAATCTTCTTTCATGAATTATGCTGTTTTCAAACTAGGATGTGCTGAGTGGTAACACTGAGTGGATTGTAGTCAATGAACCTCTGGCTTTCCTTCCCATCACTCTAGGCATTGACTTAATCCTGGTCTGTTTTCTAGTGCATGAGAACAGGAAGATGGTGCTGCCATTTTGTAAACTAAAGTGGCTCTTGCTGGGTCTCATTTAGCAAACAGTTGTATCCAGGAATCTAGATTCAATCAGAGTAGCCTAGGGAGTACAGTGGTCTATGCAAACTGTCCTTGCTTTGAACTAAAATGGAGAATTTATCAAGTTAGATTTTTAAAAATCCCCCTGTACTCTTGCAGACACCTTCTTTAAGCTCCAGTGGTGATGTGGCATGACATGAGTTTCCAGTACATTCCCTGCTATGGTCTGTGTCTGTAACAGTTAGGCTTCTTTCTGATTGTGACAATTGCACATGATACTGGCGATCACTCACTTCCCTGATCCTAAGCATTATGTAATGCCCATGTGTTTTCATTTCCTTATGCACCTCTTTCTGTTGCCCTGTAGAATCAACCTGTATGACTACCAGGCCATGTGTAGAGCCAACAAGGAGAGCAGCGGCAGCGCCCACGGACTCCTGGATGTAAGTTCACAGGGCCCTCCTGCTGCCTTGAGGAGATGTGGCTCGGGCTTTAGGGTATCAAAGGTACCTTACTCAAAACCAAGACTGTTTACAGGTATTTCCTGATTGTATTCACTAAGAACTGCTTCTGTTTAAACCCAGATTCAGGGATTATATAAGTTAAAAAGCAGGTCAAGGTCTTAGCTGGATTAATGAACCTCCCCCCCACACACACACACTCCCCTTTATAGACAAGGAGAAGAGAATCTTCACTGTTTGTTACATAAGAGAATTAAAAGAATTTAGTTTTGTTTGACATAAATTGTTCTTTCCACTTAACCATAGGGATCTGTGTTTGAGTCCCCTGTACCCACATGAAAGTCAAACCTGGTGGTGTGCACCTGTAACCCAGCCCCAGGGCAGGTGCAGCGTCTCCAGCCCTGTCTGCCAGCTGGGATCTCTGAACTCAGTCTCAAAGCTAGTGGACTGCAGCTGAGGGAGACATCTGCCATCTACCCTGGGCTTATACACACACACACACACACACACACACACACACACACACACACACACAGAGAGAGAGAGAGAGAGAGAGAGAGAGCACACCAATGAGCCCTTTCACAGATGTGTGCACACATGTGTGTCCACTGAGGATATTACAACCCAGGATCAAGGTACATGGTGCCTCCATACTGTCAGAAATTAACTCTTCCTGGTTTAAAAATGTAATTTGCAATATACAGAAAATAGCAGTTTCACCCTCAATTATCTGAAAACTCAGTGTTTTTGTTTTTTCTTTCTTTCTTTTTCTTTTTTTTTTTTCTTAAAGGTAGTATTCCTCAAGATAGGCCACATATGTAAACAAATATAACCCTTGGAATGTGATTTGATTTTGGAAATACTAAAATGCAACCAAAAATTTCCCTTAAATTACAAAATTTCAAAGCCTTCTTGCTACACCTTTTGGACCTCTGTGAGCCATGAGACTTTACAAGCCAAATGCTTAACCTGATTCTCCTTCCCAGAATGAGCAAGAAAGGGTCCGAGCCTCACAGTTTCTGAGAGGCCCTGAGAGTCGGACTTTACAGAAAACACCTAAAGGATACTTTACAGCAAAGTCCACTTCTAATGGAGGGTTTTCATGACCACACTGGCTTCCCTGCACGGACTGGGACTATTTGCAGATTTGCAATGTTCCCAAGACTGGCTTCCACCATTGCTTTTAGAAACCTTGATGGCCTTATCCTACTCAATGATCTTTAGCTTTCAAAAATCTTAATCCCTATTTGCATAATCCTTTTGTTTGCTCAGATATCCAGTTGGAGCTCAGTCTAGCAAGTTCTGCTAGAACTCCTTTTTCTCTGGCCTCTGGTGAGCCAGTGCCAAGCTACACAGCCTACCCCCTCAGCTCCACCTGCATTAGCCATCCCAGGGGGAACAAAGACCCAGAATTAGTTCTTGCTCTGACTCCCTGGGTCTTTCTGGGGATCGGGAAAATGATGGCTTAAATGCCATAACACCTAATGGCAAAACCACAGGGCTTTGAGACACATTAAGTTTTAAGAAATTATTAAGTTAGTATCTTTCTCTGACCCTAACCCTGGAGGCACAGAGTACTCCAGTTCAGGAGCTCCAAGTTGAAGAACTCACTGAACTCAGAGCAAGAACTCCCCAGCCTTCAAAAGCAGAGTGAGCCAGGAATAAGCTCAATAGGTTTAGTTTGTTTGTCTGTTTATACTGCTCTCTGCCGCTTTCTGGCTTGAGAAAGGAACCTTTCAGCAAGTTAGGGGACTATAAATTCTCATCCTTGTTTCATTTAAAACTGGATAATTCCTCCATTCCTACTTCTGGTTCTTGTAATTAAAAGTACTCAGAGAGGAGGATTAGGCAGCTATCGCCTCAGAAACCAAGGTTTGGCACGGCCTTCCTGAATGGCAGCCACAAAAGGTGCTGAGGATTTTTCTGGACCTGTTGTCTGGAGCCCGGTTCTGCCAATGCCATCGTCTGCCTCGCAAGTCTATGTACCACTTACATATCTGGCATACCTAGGTACAAAGAACCAACTGAGGGGGACATGGTATTTTCCAGAATTCAGGAAATTGAATTATCCACATAGGAAATATCACAGAGTAAACAATCCGACTGCTTTTTTTAATTAAAATATTCTGAAATAAAGATTAGGCTGTCAATGCCTTCTTTTATAGCATGCAGGGGATTTTCTGTGGGGATAAAATCACATGTTCATATGGTTATCATTTTTTCAAGTCCAAATATGTAAGTGCGAGAAAGGGCAACCCAAATCCTCCATAATTCATGGAAGGCATTAAAATCAAGTGTGTTCAATTTGTGCTTCTCTCAATGAATGACATTCAGTGATGGAGAACTGCAAGTCACCTTTCCAAAGGGGAGCGCTGCGAATTACCATTTGAAATTAGTTACATGACTCCAGCCCCTCAGCATCAGGCTGTGAAATATTAGCCCCTAGAGGGTAAAGGTTTAAGCATCGTTTGTTGAACTTCCTCCTTCCCCCCAGTGATAACCCTTGTATTAGATCATGTTTATTTTACTTGTAAATCACATCTCACTACAGGGGAGTTCAAAGTTTTAAATGTTAGTTTTGGGATACAGTATCCAAGCATATTCTTCCTTTAGCTAGACCCTCCCTGGTTTTTAACATGATATCCATCTCTCCAGAAGAATAACATTGTCTCTATGTAAAGCCTCAAGTCAAACTACAAACTGCTTGTGTAAGCGTTGTTTTAATGGGGTGAATTCTTCCCTTCAGCCCTATAACGCCTTCCTCTCAGCAGCCAAGTGGATAATGACTGAACTTGTCTTGTAAGTACCATCTGGTATATTCTTTTCCACAAGTATCCTCATCCCTCTGTTTCTGTGATGCAGTGAATGGGGAGATGGTGCTTCCTGCTCTCATTAACTTTGGATCCACTGAATACCTCAAAGTACTGACTTCTGAGAACACAAAGCTATCTTTTTAATGTTAGTTACTCACAACCACTCTGTATGCCCCGATGTCATTGTTGAGCAGACTAACAGCTTACGATACACAAGCCAAATCTATTTATTGTGGTTACTCTTAAATTTAACATGGATGCCTGGCTGTCTTAATGCTGCCTGGGTGGGCTGTGGTCAGGAGAACATTCAGCCAAGCTGTCCACTGTTGCTGGGTTGTATTGGTTTGGGAAGGAGCCAGGTTTACATGGGCCCCAAAAAGGGCTGGGGCTTTACCTAGAGAGGGGTTAATAAGTAAATTAACCTTATCAAATTGTGATCCTCTTCTGAGGATTCTGGATGACTCTGTGACTCTGTGACTTTTTTGTTTTGTTCTTTTGGGTTTTTTGTTTTGTTTTGTTTCTTTGTTTGTTTGTTTTTGTTTTTGAGACAGGGTTTCTATGTAGCTTTGAAGCCTGTCCTGGAACTCACTCTGGTAGATCAGACTGGCCTCAAACTCACAAAGATCTGCCTGACTCTGCCTGTTAAGTGCTATGATTAAATCAGATTTATGAAGACTCTGGCCTCCAGATGAGATAAAGGACACATTGCAGCAACAGTGTATCCCAGAAATAGCAATTGACCAGACTGAACAAATTGCACTAAACTGTCACTCTTCTTTTTCCCAGCCAGGGTCCAGTGTTGTAGGGTTAAGGCAAATCCATTGCCATTTGGTGAATGACAGTTTGTTTTTTTCTCTCTTTGCTTTAATGCAGTCTCTTAATTCAAGAATGTTTGTAAATTCAAAGGCAAAGACCTGCTCTGTGTAGGGAAGACGGGGAAGATGCATTGAGACTAGCCTAGCAGTTGGATTTTGATGGAGAAGTTAGGGATAGCCATGAAGTAAATGAAAAGTATTTTTTGATCTATTGCCACCCATTTAGAAAGTGATTTATATTGCTTTTGCATCCTTCACTATCAATTGAGAAATTCTGATTTTTCTGAAGTTGGCTTATGGTGTAATTTCATTAAAAGTTCGACCCACTCTTCGCCCCCACACACAAGTATAAACACATTTGCTGGACCCACCCTAGATTGCTGTAGACCATGGTTCTTACCCAGAAGAATGTTCAATTTTAAATTCTGAAATAAGGCAAAAGGCCCTTTAGAAACTGGCTATTTATTGTGGAATAAAACCAGGTGCTATTATATATAAATAAAAGTGAATTACTAGAGGCTGACTTCTGACCAAACAGCAGACATTTTTCAACTAAAAGTCCTTCTCAACTAGGAGATCTATGGTGGCACTGATGTTAAAATAGCTTTTCCCAAGTGTGTTGAAACCTAGTGGCCATTCAATGGAAACTCAGCCAGGCTCAGCAGCTTCTCCAAAGTGCAATGTTATTTTCAAATGGAGTTGGGGAAGCACAGAAGGACATAAAATGACACCCTTCTAGCCACGGCTTAGATGACCGTATAACCCTGGAGTTTTTCACCTTTTGTTTAGGTTCCTAGTGGAATTTAACCTGTGCAGTTGGTGGCACTCCGACATGACAGCTAAAGGTAGGTGGCTACTGGGGTTGCTGTTTCTTAGTGTGAGTGATGAACCCTGGGTTCTGATACTTTTTATCAGTGAACATTGGCTTTTGTTAAACCACACAGGACTTTGTGACAGTTCCTCAGCTCTGTAGACAGAAAGCCACTCTGCTGAGGCCTATGCCACATAGCCTGACACAGTATTCTACAGATACTTTCCACCCCTGTTCACTTTGTCCTGTTTCCCCAACAGAAGCAGAAAAGTCACACTTTGGAGGGGTCTGAAATGGATAAGCATTCTAGTTTTGTCTGTACAACTGCAAACACATGAGTTGATGATTTGAGTGACAATTAGTGGACATTCTCAGAGACCCAACTCAGGTCTATGGTAGGGTTCAACTCTGGCTTAAAGTCTTTCCTTTGGCAAAGTAATTAATCTCACCAAGTCTCAGTTTCCTATCATAAAAACAGTGGGGAGAATATTTATCTCCGTGTGTGCGTGCATGTGTGCGTGTGTGCATGCGTGCATGTGTGTATGTGTGTGTGTGTGTGTGTGTGTGGTATGTGTTGTGTGTATGTAGTAAGATAGATAAATCATGTTATCTGTTGACCAGAGTAAATGGAACTTAAGATGCTGCTGTAATTAATCTCTGACAATGAAGATGATGGTTTTAATGCAGGCAGTGATGAAGTTTGTCTTCAAAATGGTGAGCTGTCCCATGCCCATCTCCTCCAGGCCTTCTCAGCCAATGCAAGTTCTCAGATACTCTCTCTTTTGTTTTGTTTTTCTGAATTCTTTAAACCTGGATATTAAAGACTGGTAGGCTGCTACCATGAATTTTATTTTCAATTATTTGTTTTAGTTTTGATGGTAAGATCATAAAGTGGTTCAACTTAGGTATTGTATATTGGCTTGCATATCATGCCTTAGGCGCCTTCTACATGGATTTTCTGAATCCCCAAACATTTAATTCTGCTCCTCCCTTAGTACCTTAACAATCAACCCTTGCACTTCTCTATCACCATCACCTTTCTTTGCTTCGTTTACGTGACACTAGGTTTCCTTGGTGATACTAATATGCCCATTCATTCTCATCAGCACCCAACTAAGGGGACAACAGGTACTTTGCATATTAAATACCCCACTGAGTCATCTTTGTGCTGGGCATGACCCCATCAAGCCCACTGGACTGGTACTAGTTTTGAATTGTAGTGCATGTTCATTATCATAGTTTAGAAATGAAATGTGAGGCTGTAACTGAGACTGTAAAGAAGGGTTTCCATAGTTGACAGGAACTTACAATAACAAATGATGGTGACTTTTTAAATGTTCCCTAAGAAGGTCATTGTAGGATTATAATTCACACACAGAAGGGTGTATTATGCTGGTACTGCAAAATTTTTAATTAAATTCATAAAATATTGATATTCTTATGCAGCCAGATGCAAGGAGTCATACCTGCAGGCCCACAAGCTATCCAGAAAGCAGAGGCAAGAGAATTGCTTTGTGTTTAGGGGGTAAAAACTAGCCTGGGCCATGTAGCAAGATTAATATGCTCTACTAAAAACTCATAAAAAAATGTAAAACGATAATCAAAACCCCAGACCTAAGACTTGCAATCCAGTGTTGGGGATCTGTGGAGTTAATATGGTCAGAAATCAACATGAAGACGTTAGTAGGCAGAGAACAAACTATGATTCAAGGTGGTGAGAAAAAAGACTATTATATCCCCTAAAACAACCTGTGGTATAAATTTGTTTCTGTTGATATTATGTACATTTTATAAAAGAAAGGTAAGATGAGGCAAAATAAATCAGTAGATCTTGAGGACTTGAGATGTAGCTTAGTTAAGACCATCTTCCTATAGCACCAATAAGTGAGAACAAAGACTCACTCTACCCAAATGAGACTGTGATGGCGCCGAAGGGGATGTCTAGCCTGCAGGTCCCACCCTGCCTAAGTACAAAGGTCTGAGAATCTCTAGTTTCCTCAGTGGTTCATAAAGGTTAGTTAGGTACAGTACAGGTCAATGGTTAGTAAAAGTTAGGTATAGTACAGGTCAATGGTTAGTAGAGGTTAGTTAGGTATAGTATGGGTTTGAATTGGGCACTGGAGGGCATGGGCAGGAGTCTAGTGTGAAGGTGCTTGTTCTTGCTTTGGGGGGGCGGCTCTTTCTTAGGAATGAGCTTCTTGCTGAGGGTCGTGTACTAGGTTAATTTCTTGGTGTTCCTTTTCATAAGTGAGGAAGGAACTCTTTTTTTTTCTTTTGTTTCCTTCCTTCATTTTTTCTCCTTTTTTAAAGGTCGTTTCTCTGTATTGCTAACAATGACCCTGAACATTTGATCCTCCTGCTGCTACCTCTCCAATGCTGGAATGTTGCCTTCTTTGTACAGTGCTGAGACCTAGATCTTCCTGAATGCTAGATGGACACACTACCAACTGAGCCACATCCTCAGACCCCAAGAAAGACCTTCTTTGTGTCAGTTTTCACTCTCAGACAGACCTCCCATTCTCACCCTAACCTACCCTCACTTGAGGTTGTTTTTTGTTTTTTTCCTTCCTTCCTTCCTTCTTTCCTTCCTTCCTTCCTTCCTTCCTTCCTTCCTTCCTTCTTTCCTTCCTTCCTTCCTTCCTTCCTTCCTTCCTTCCTTCCTTCCTTCCTTCCTTCCTTCCTTTCTTCTTTTGTTTCTTTCTCTTTTTTTTGAGAGCCTGTCCCTGTGATCCTTGCTGAAAGCAGTGTTTAACTGAGGGACAGTTCTGTCTCCCAGCAGTCATTGCACTATCTGAAGACATTTTCGATTGTCACAGCTTGCTACTGGCATCTAGTGGGTAGAGGCCAGGATGCTGCTATACATTCCACAACACTCAGGCCAGCCCCCACAGCAAAGCAGTAGCTGATTCAAAAAGTCAGCATGAGAGCCTTGAGAAGTTCTGGTCTTGATGGAGTGGGGTGTAAGCCAGAGTAGAATGGCTGATAAAGACACGGTTTCTGTGTGGTTTCTCCAGACACTCTAAAAGGTTCCTGCTCTGAGTTCTACATCCCCATCCCTCCCTCCACAACTGTCCCAACACAGGTCAAAAGTATTATGTGATTCTGCCTTGAGAGTCTTAACACCTCTTCCTAAAAGACCATTCCAAAATGTCCATTGACTCTAGACCCAAGGTTCTCAACCTTCCTAATGCTGTAACCCTTTTAACAGTTCCTCATGTTGTGGCGACCCTGACTGTAAAATTATTTTTGTACCTACTTTATTACTATAATTTTGCTACTGTTATGAATCATAGTATAAATATCTGATTTGCAGGATATCTGATGTGTGACCCCTAATGGGATCATGACCCACAGGTTGAGAACCACTGCTCTGGACTGTAACACATTCATCCCATGGAGTAGAAAAACTGCTCAGATAGTTGCATAGTTGCTGTGATGTGCTGACTCAGAACATTTCATCATTTGCAGAATGCTGGGAAACCCTTTCACATCCCCCCAAATTCCTCCTTCCATCATAGCTGAGAGGTGGTCCCTGGCAGTCCTTACAACCAGATCTCTCTGATGACCCAAGTTGTGGAGATAGGTAGCTAGATAGAAGCAGAGATACATAAAAAGTGCAGGAGAGGGAAGCTGCGCGTGCGCGCGCGCGCGCGCACACACACACACACACACACACACACACACACACACAGACCTAAGTCAAGACCTTCTACCATAACAAGCCTCAGTTGTCTTTCTTTGAGTGTGAACTGGGTTCTACATCTGAACTATCTTGCTCAGGCCCACAGCCATCTATTCTATGATTTTTGCCATGTTGTAAATGAAGGCACCAAAACAGGCAGAGGTTTGTGAATTTATCTGTGGGATGCTGTTATTGTTCAAAGTCTGGTTAAATCCTGTATTCAGTATAGGGAAGGAATAGTCTCAGCACCATCTTGACTTGCAATTCATGCTAAATTTATCATCCTCACACTAGATAAAGATGCTGAGCTGAGACATACATCTTTGTTTTAGCTAAAAATGGAATCCATAATTACACTGTTTATCTGCCCCATTTCCTTGATGAAGGGACTGTGGAAACCCACTTCTACTTGATTACCACAAAGGTCTCATTTGGGTGAAGCCTCACAAAGAAAATGGAGCTTGCTGGCACCCAATTATGAATGGGAATGCATTCACAGAGACAAAGAGAGAGTGAGGCTTTTCAAATTGCAAATCTACCCATTCCCAATTGCCTGCACATAATTATGGTGAAGCCAAGTCAGTTATTCTCATTAGGGACATTTGTTGCTAAGGGAAAATGCAAGCAATTCAATTGTGTAGATGTCCAGTTGAATGCTCTGTGGGGAGTGAGTGGTAGGTCATGGTGGCTTGAGTTTCAGATACCAGTGTCACTGGAGTGAGAGACAGATCAGAGTATCAGCAAGTATTGGCTCCCGGTGAGACTGTCCAGGTGCACACCTGGATCCGGCCACTTACAGCTGTGTCCTTTGAACAGGTATCTTAACTTCACAGAGCTTTAGTTGCTCCATCCACCAAATTACATAGCAGCAGAGCTTTGCTTATTGTGTGGTGATGAAGGTTCCATTCACAGATGCACAGTGCCTCATAACCAGAAGCACCTCCTGAGTGGTAACCACTGAAAGGCTTTAGCTGTTTTCCACTTAAGAAAATGGTGACGTAAAAGAGGTGTCACTTAGTGTAGAACACTTGCTTAGTCTAGGTGATATCATGGGTTTTGCCCCAGCACTGCTGTCAGTCAATATATGCATAGATAAGATTATGACAAGCCACTTTGTACAGGACTCAAGGCAGCTTGTGTCCAGCTTCTGAGCCATTACCTGTCCCTTCTGGGAGAAGAATGAACTGGCCCAGGCTAGCAGCAGCATCTCTGAGTCCCTACAGCTTTGCTAGATCATGGGTTTGGAATGCCCTTAGATTGCTGGCAGTCTTGGTTGGTTATTAGTTTGAAATTCCAAAGATAAACAGTAGTGGCTAGCAAATATATATGGTATATTCCATAGTGCTCTAGACAAAGAAAGGCCCAGGTTAGTAGAGTAAATGTGGCCATGGTTTTGTGGGATAATTTGTATGTTTCTCAAGCACACCAAGCCAGTCTACAGTTGTGCTGCAAACAGTCAGTATTTATGGCTACATCAGCATGAGTACCTTACGGTTGTCAAAGGAAAAAGAATTCCATCTCTAGTAAGGATCTGGGCCAAATGAGCTTTGCCATGGACATTTTGGACTCATTCCATCATAATAGAGCCCAGACAATTAGAATTAGAGATGGTGAAATTATTGGGCTTATTTAAATCATGTGTGTGCCACCTCCCCCAGCCTGCCCTGGAGACCTCGAGCTTTGTTGCATTGGCCTGACTTCACAAAGCCCCGAAGCCCTGGAGCTTAGACATGCTGGAGCAAAATAGCCCAAGTTCAAACTTTGGCTCCTCCACCTACTTCCTTGGTGATTTTGAACAATTTATTTCAGCCTACTCTGACTTCCACCTCCTCTGCCAGCAGAGCCTTCTTTAAAAGTGAAAGGCTTCTTTTTTAAAACTTCTTTAAAGGAAAAAAGAAGTTCCTACTTCCTATTTTATTTTTTAATCTTGTCATATTTTGTTGTGAGATAAATTAATGTGTCTCAAGCAGAATGGCATGTGGCACACAGCAGCTCTTTAACACATTTAGTTGTTTGTTTTTATATGCCGTTTACATGTGTGTGCCATATCCACTTATAGCCTACATGATTGCATATTTAATCTTTATTTCATTTAGAAGTGATCTTTTTGAAACACAGATACTTTAAATATAAAAAGGAAGTTGCCTAAATTGGACATCAGAATCACTTGCCAAACAGAGAAAAGCCAATCTTGAAAATGAGAACTGTGAAAATAAAACGTGTTGCCAAACTGTTGCCAGATGGTTCCCTCCCCCAGTTAAGAATACAACAACGGAAGGAATGCAAGGGAAAGGGAAAGGTGATTACAACAAACACAGGACCCCCTCCTCCAGTATCAAGCCAAACTGCCTCCTCTCTGCTCAAGACAGGTACAAAGCAAGAACTGGAAGAGGGCTGGTTCCTGCCATGGGGCAGGGGACATCTCACCTTCCTCCCCAGGGACAAGCACTTTGTCACAGGGACTACATTTCTTCCATTTGTCTGTTGTATTTGATTGAAACAAAACAAAACAAAACAAAACAAACAAACAAAAAAAAAAAACCCACCATCCAAGGGACTCAAGAGATAGTCTTGTGTGTCTATGTGTGCGTGTTTATGTGGATTTATTGTATGTGTATATGTGTGTTGTGTGTGTGTGTGTGTGTGTGTGTATGAAAGAGAGAGAGAGAGAGAGAGAGAGAGAGAGAGAGAGTTTGCCAGTCAAAATCAGTGTGTACATTAATTTTCCCTCTTCAGTGTAGCTTGTGTGGGGTGACAGCTGGCAAACACACGCTCTTAAGGTTAGCAACTGGACAGTGAAATCATATGTTCTAGCAAACAAACAAACACTCCCCCCCCAAAAAAAAACCAACCAACCAACCAAACAACAACAACAAAAAAAACTGAACTAGACTCTGCATCATTTTGTTTTAAATAAGAGAACAAAACAAAATGTGTCATTGTACTATGACTCCGACTGTTTCTTCAAAATAAGGAAGCCTCAGGGGGAAAACACATATGTTAGAAACAGTTGTGTTAGAATATAAAAGCACAGGGCACAGCTTATTGATGCCCTAATAATTATCCGACTGTGAGCAGCTGGATATTTTACAGTGTTGCTCTTAGATCCCACAGCATCCCAGGAAGGTAGGCAGTTTGCCATGGTTCTGATATTCATCCACCTGTACCTGGAGTGTAACTTGACATGTTGTATTCTACACATCACATTTTGGAATTATAAATGTAAATTTTATATATAAGCTTAATTCCATACATCACCAAAACCAAGCCCCCCCCAAAAAAAACCCAAAAAACCAACAACAACAACAACAAAATAAACTATGTGTAAGAGACTCAGATATTCCATTCTAAACATGTGAGTAGGCATACTGTGCAGAGTGCCTGAGCAACCAGTATCCCTATTTTATAGATAAGAATGGAATGAGAGGGTTAGCTAGAAGTAGCAGATGGGGAATTTTCCCCCAAACTTCTCCTATAGGAGCTTTTGCACTTAATCATGACCTACAGTATACATCATGGTATCATTTGCTGTTACAAAGCCAAGAATGCTTATTCTTTTGTTAGTTACTCTTATTGTTGTAATTAATCCAATGCTTAGCACTGTGTACCAGCACTGCACTCAGTACTCATCAGTGTTCTGCTCACTTCTCCCATCAACCTCTGAAAACAGAACACCATGCACTCTAGTGCGAATAAGAAAATTGAGGCTTACAGTTTGGATCCCACCATTGGGATGTAAGTTTTCTAAACTATTTAGCAGCCTCTAGCTCATATAGAGTGCTTACTGTGCACTCATTCCTATGCCCACGTTATTTAGTTATTTTAAACTGATATAGTGTCTTACTGAATGAGAAACTTCATAGTAGCAGAATTTGGAATGTGCTATACTTCACAAACATTTATGCATTTTACCATTTCATACTTCAATTTTTCTTTTAATAACAGAACCATGCAATTGTATCATGACATTTTTCTTGTCCTCAATAAAACAGTAATATGGTATAGCTTACATTTTGATGTATGTATTTGGATTCCCAGATGTGTTGGTGCTAAGTCACTGTGAATCTGAGGTCAGAGACCCTGTGGTTGATGTTGACCCAGAAAGTAGAGTTCTTGTGATGCATAAATGGTAGCCAATCAAGCCAACACAACTGCTTCAGGAATTATAGCTTACAGAGTTGCTTGGCAGATGAAATCACTGGACTAATTAGAAAATAATGCATTGTGCTGTGCCTAGAAAAATCACAGAGCTTCCTCAGCTCTTGAGCTGCTGTGGGCTGCCAGGCACAGCACTGACCCTGAGCACCCAGCTTTCATTATTTTGCTTCCCTTTGCTTCCCTACAGCCCAGAAACTGAAACAGATCCTGGAGCCTTGTGACACAGAATACCCTGCCTTTGTTTCTGAACGCACCATCAAGGAGACCACAGGGAACATTGCTTGTGAAGACTGCTCCAAGTAAGCTATCCCCAGCCCCTGCAGCCCCACTGTACACACCTTTCTGTTGACTGTGGAGCCCTCCCCATGGGACAATGATACTGGAGCACACACACACACAATTACACTGGGAGCCAGGAAACATGGCTGCCCTCTGGTGTGAGGACATAATTCTATCAACTGGGAGGAAACAGCCCTGGGTTTTGGTAGATTGATTTAACATTGGGAAGCATCCAGAATGTGTGACAATACATCTTTGAATATAAGAATTTAGTTCAAGTTTCTGGTGCTTAGAGGAAGTCCTAATTGGTGTTTTCCCAGCTGACAGCTGACAACTTCAGCAAATGTGCTTAGGTGTGTTTAGCAGGAACACTGTTCCCCCTCTGAATCCCACCTCATAGGCTGTGGTCTGATGTTGAGCATCTATGGGCTGAAGATGAACACAGTTGGTCATTTAAGAGACTATGGGCCGGTGCCTATGGGATAATCAGATCCATTCTTGTTGATTGAGGTATTGTGTGTTTCCAAGACTTTGTTGCTAAAGCTATACTCTCTATGGGCCATCCTGTCCTTTGGTCTTTTCACTATTGATGGGTGACTCTTGATGAATTCTCTTTTGCTTGTATTTTGATATAGTATACTTTGTCCTTTTCTGTTTTATGCCCTGTGTACCACTCTTAAGGGAGTCTTGCATTTTCTTTGTGAACACATTAATGAGTGCTGTTTGTGTTTAGAACTTTAGCTTCTTCTGCCTGTATGTGCCACACAACACAAATGGAGCTCTGACATCACCCTTTTTCGTGTATAAGAATAACCCTGTACTTGGTTACCAGTGTGTGGGAGGTGGTGCATGCCTATACCACAGGGCACATGTAAACATCAGAGGGCATTTTGTGTCGTGGGTTCTCTCCTTCTACCCTTACATGGATTCTGGGGACCAACCTACACTGGACCTTCACCCACTGGACCAACCTATCACTCCTTGACCTTCACTTTTGTGTATGTTTGTTCATCTGTGGGTATGTGTGGGGGGCTGGGGATTGATCCTAGAACTTCACACCTATTGGGCAGCCATTCTATTAGCTTTGCTTTTTATGGAATAGTCTTTGATTCTCTATCCATTTGCAATGATACTTATAGCCACCAATCTGCAGAGCTGTTTTTGATCTTGTGTGTTACCAGTGTTGTAGACCCTTAGTATAGATTTGTGATTGGACTTGATACTTAGGAGAACACATATCCTTTCCTTATTCTTCCTCCAAGTTATCTTGGATATTCTTGCTTCTTCATCCTTTCATATTAACTTTAGAATTTACTTGTTAATTGCTATAAATTCTAGGGTTTCCATGAAAATCATTGTAATCTATAGTCAGCTTTAAAATGATAATATTTTTAGGATACCTGAGCTTCTTACCAATAAATTAAACACATCTTATTTATATGCCTTTTCCCACGCCCCTTAAAGTAAGTATGAATTATGTCAGATTTATACCTAGACTCATTTGTAGTTTTTCTTGTTTTCATGAGTAGAACACATGTAGAACTATATTTCTAATGTATAATAGTATTACTTGAGGATAACAGTAATGCAAAATAGTAATGATAACTTCTGTTTATTGAATATTTCATAGCCAACAGATTGCTTTATATGCCTTAGATCGAATTGTTCTCACACATATTCCTTGGACTTTTTTGCACAGAAAGTGATATCATTTCTGAAAAGTATGACTTCCAAACTTAAAAAGCCAGAAGAGAGAACTTCGAATATTTTTTTAGATTTATTATGTACACATCATTCCACCTACATGTATCCCTGCAGGGCAGAAGAGGACACCAGATCTCATTATAGATGATTGTGAGCTACCACGTGTGTGCTGGGTTATCAAAGAAATTATGGCATTTAGTGAGGAGTTAGAATATTCTACAATCATTCTTTATAGTCGGGAATGTCCATACCTACCGTTCCTTTAAAAATAACTAAAATATGGATTTAGAAAAAAATGACTAATATGGAAAATATTCACATTATTTACATTCTATAATAAAAATCTAACAAATATATTAAACATGGTATTATTAAACATGATTATTAGAAATGTCTATTCGATTGTATCTAGTACTGCAAATCATGAAACAGTAAATATGGAGGTCAGACACTTTTCATAGTGTTTAGTCAGCTTCTCTGGGTGTGCTATGAATCCCTCTCTCCATCCTACTATATCTTTAACACTTTAGTGTCCGAGTTTTCAAAATTAGCTATAAAGATTTTCTAATGTCAAGCTGTTTGTATCTGCACACATTTAAATGGTGGGTGAAATTTCTTAGGTGAGTTTTGAGGCTATTTTTTGCTTATTACTGGCATCTAATTAAATGGTGTTTTTTGGTATATGTGCAAAGTTGGTTTGTTCTGTAGTGTTTGTTCCTGGGTTTTGGAAACAAGTTGCATTTCCAAACAGCCTTTGTAGAAAGATCAGTGTGTTGCCATTAGGTCAAATGTAAACCTTGTTTAAAGACCTTACTCCTTTTTCTTTTGTGTGTATGAGTTTCTATTACAGATGTCATGTCATCTCCCCAGGGTTAGGTGTTTTCATTGCCTTCATATCATTCAGTCCTTCTTACAATCTAGATTTTGAGGTTATGTTTCTATGGAAATCCCTGTTTGGGTCAGAATTGCTTCTTTTGCCCCTATAGAAGACCGCATTTATACATAAAGTATCCCATACCTCAGCATCTGCTTCGTTTGCTCACCACATAGGTAAAGCTTCTCACTGTGGAGTGTTGTTTAAATGCATGACTCAATCCCTTCATTTTCAATCTCATTGCTGCCCTTTATTTTCCATTGGGATTTTGCTCTGTAACTAGGGTACAGCTGGACTTGAAGTTGTCATTGCCTCTATCATCTGCTAAATTAATTCCTTGAAGTTTTTTTATGCTTCCTGACAAGTCCGGGTCTCTGTTCCTGCCATCATTTTATGTGTTACTCTTTCCCAGGCTTTATCTTTGTTTCTTTAGTTTTTTTAGATTTCTGAATTTTCTGTACTCACGTTACTCCTTTTGAGTACACAGATATCCTATATGTTTTCAGTAACTATCCTTGCTCTGTGGGTATGTTCCCATTAGTTACAGCCTCTCCCTTGCTCATGAACAAACAAAAACATATGGGACTTCTATTGGGTTTACTTTCTAGCTCATGTGTACAATTCCACATTCTATATTTGTAACCCGGTTACTGTTTCATTCCTCTTACTGTTTAATGTAGTTCATTGCTGGCTACCTCTGCCACCATGTTTCACTGATCATTGTTGCTTTAGGAGCATTATTTTTGGTTTTGGTCTTTAGGAATGGTATGGGAGTGACACATTCTTTCATGCTGTGTTCAAAGCCCCTCCTGTGATGTGGCATGTGTGTGTACACTGTCATAAGGACTAAGGCCACTGTCTCTAAGTAGGAATGTTCACCAATGTCTACCTCATCTCAGCTCTGTGCCTTGGTAAGTAGTTTAGTACTTCCCCCTTGTAGACAGAGACAGCTTCCACAGATTTCCTTCTCTAACATATTCTCAACTTTCATTGGGATGATTCTCAACATCAATTTATTCCTTTTTGATTATTAGCTTTGTCTTGTGTGATATTTTTTAAACTCAGTTTCCTTTAAGTCTGCAGCTTAGAATGTCCATTTAGTTCTTAATATGCATGGGTTTCTAGAAGATTAAATTTGTTTCTCTGAAAAGTGGGTTTCATCCACACAGTCTTAGCTAGGTTCTCTGTACTAATAGCGACTGTATAAGAGTGTTCTAGTAGTACGTGTTGGAGAGCTACTGGTCATCTTTGTTCCTGTGTATGCTTTCTTTGATGGTACATTCTTTACTTGTGTATTCTGTTACAGTTTTTAACTCTGAACTTGTCTCATATATTAATTATTATTCTTTGGCACTAGCACAGGGCTCAGGTTTCTATGGTAGCTGTGCCTTTGGACTTCTCTCATGCATCTTACTAGTATTGACATAATCATTATGTAACTTCATATTTAGGGTTTCATCACCATATAATTATGGTAAATATTTTCCCTAAACAGAATTCATTTTCAGCTGCAACTTTGAGTTCTCTTGGGCACTACTCTTTTCCCTGCTCAGAGCCTCTGGGCAGGTCAGATTATCGGCTCCTTAGACTTAGCTGTAACTGTGCAACTTGGCTTTCCTTCCTCCCATAAGTGAGTGGAGTTAAACATGTTTGGGGTTCACATTTCATCCCATATGTCTGAGTGTTTATGGCAGGGTGGCTTTCATATCTGCCCAATCTGTCATGTCCTAGATTAGCCTTCTGGCTGGGGACATTCTAGGGCCACCACAAGAAGTGATAAGTCTGAGTAGGGGGCCTTGGAAGTACTGAGGTCAGAGTATGATCCCTGCCTTGTCACTTTCTTTGTGAAGAAGGGCTATTAATAATAACAGTAGTAATAGCAGTAAGCATGCCATGGTCTCACTTGAAGGAATCAAACGAGAAAACTTGTTATGGATTTAGTACAATGCCTGGCCCCAGTAAATGGCCACATCCATTCATATATAGTGATCTGGGATACTAACATGTGTGTCCCCTACCCCAAAGTCATATGTCAGAACCTATTTCCCACTGTGATAAAATTGATAGGTGGTGTCCTGTGAGAGGTGATTAGGACCTGACAGCTCTGCACTAGTCCAATGAATGAGATGAATATCCTTATAAAAGAAACTATAGGGAGTTTGTTGGAATCTTCCTCCATGTCTTTGAAGCAGAGGGTCAGCCCTATCTATAAGGTCTGTCTGCTGGTAACAATCTGCAGTCACTATGTGAACAAACGCTTTTGTGTTTTCATAAGTTACTTATTAATGTATTTTGTTAAGTGCCACAATGGCTGAGATGTATCATACCCTGCATTCACTAAGTTTAAGCCCTGAAAAATAGTCTATAGAAATACGAATGTTCCTATCAGTGATCTAACATCACTCTGTTCCCTTAGAAACAGAAACTACATGTTTGATTTTA